TTTCATTGTATTATTTCACATAAGTTTATTTTGGAATCGTAATTTTTTATATTTAATTAATTAATTATTATTTTTTAATGCTGCAATAGTCATAAATCCCATATCTGAGGGCGTTCAATTACATAGAAATGTGCCACAAGCTGCAATGACGACAAATAATAACATTGTTCCAAAACAAGGTAAGACTTATTTTGTAATAATTTAGCTTAAAAAAACAATGTCAACTTCTGCAATTTAAATATACATTGTCTCATTACTTATGTAATTAATTTAAATTAAATATTAATTTATAAATTAATTATTTCTTAATTAAATTTTAGATGATGGAATAGTCATGCCCCCCATATCTGAGGACATTCAGTTACATGGAGATGTTTTAGAAATCACAATGACAACAAATATTAATATTCATCTACCGCAAGATATGAACAAACTACCATGTTATTCATTTTTACGTATTATTTGTACATGATTCACAATTTTATGATTATCTCATTATCTTTTCATTGTATTATTTCACATGAGTTTATTTTGGAATTGTAATTTTTTATATTTAATTATTTTATTATGATTTTTTAATGATGAAATAGTCATAAATCCCATATCCGAGGGCGTTCAATTGCATAGAAATGTGCCACAAGCTGCCATGACGACAAATAATAACATTGTTTCACAATAAAGTAAGAATTATTTTATAATAATATAGCTTAAAAAATAATGCCAACTTCTGCAATTTAAATACACACGGTCTCATTACCAATGTAATTAATTTAAATTAAATATTAATTTATAAATTAATTATTTCTCAATTAAATTTTAGATGATGAAATAGTCATGCCCTCTATATCTGAGGACATTCAGCTGTATGAAAATGTTTTAAAAATCACAATAACAACAAATATTAATATTCATCCAGCACAAGGTATGAATAAACTATTATGTTATTTATTTTTACATATTATTTGTACATTATTCACAATTTTATTATTATCTCATTATATTTTCATTGTATTATTTCACATAAGTTTAATTTTGAAATCGTGATTTTTTATATTTAATTATTTATTTTTTAATGATGAAATAAAATTAATCTCATATCCAAGGGCGTTCAATTGCATAAAAATGTGTCACAAATTGCAATGACGACAAATAATAACATTGTTCTATAACAAGGTAAGAATTATTTTGTACTAATTTAACTTAAAAAAATAATGCAAACTTCTACCATTTAAATATACATTGTCTTATTACCTATATAATAATCACTTAAAAAAATTTGTACTTGTGTTTTTTTGAACTGATTGTATTTTTTTTTTTTAAATGATTGTGTCTTTCTACCTAAAAATAATTTTACACTTTACAAATAACTTTTTTATTAAATAGAATATTTTTTTAAACAAGTTTTTTATTTTTTATTTTATTTATAAGATACAATGTTAACATTGTGATAAAAGGTAATACTGGTTCAATAAATCTCATTATTTAAGATAAATGGATAGAGTTTATCTTACGATATCGACCATCATATTTAAAAAATATAAGATGAAAGGTGCGAAACTATATAATTTATTATAAGTAGTTATTCCTACATTTTCAATACAATGTTATAATTTCAAAATTTTACAGGATAATGAAATTAGAATGATTAAAAATTCTATTGCGACATGTTAAGATCGTATCTATGCATTTATCATACATCTACTAACAATGCAAACTCAATTAGATTATTTATTGTGCATAACCTTTGTTTTAAATATAAATTAGTTTGAAAAATGTCTATACCTTTTAGAAGGTAAAAAAAAATGTAAGTATAACATTTTATACATAATATATGTATTGTTAATTAATTATAATACTAACTATCATGTTGGCAATGCAAGAATGTTAATGAAAGACCTACAACAATTTAGATTTTAGTTATACGTTATTTTATTTATTTAGTGAATTTCGAACAAAGTAATAAATTCTTGTTTTTATTACTTTAATTATGCAATGTCAATCTTTTATTAAAAAATTACGTATGTTTTATGCTAGTAATTTAAAAATATGTTTGACATAATTATAAATAATTTTTTAAATTCAGGGATTGTTTAGGATATTCTAAATAAGTGTACATTTTGATTTTTATAAAATATGGGTTGGGTATGAGTTAAGTTGAAGTAATGTGATAGAGAGGTAATGTGACTTAAATAAGATGATGTGATTTTTTGACTTTTTAACTTTTTTTAGGAAATGAAAAATAAGGCTTTAATCCCGTACACAGCACGAGTGATATACTAGTTATTTAAAAATTAAAAGGTTAAAGTGAAGAAACTACCAAACATAAAACGATGGTGTTACATACACCAATTAATGTACACACTAATAAGATTATACCATATCATCTGTTGATATACTAATGTGTATACTAATTAGCTCATTTAACATTATTCAACATTAAAATAAAAAAAATAAAGCGAAAATGTAATTTACCATTAAAATTTTAATGAAAAACGGGTCGGTTTCGTCTGACATGGTCCTTTAGCCGCCGGCTTTCAAGTTACAAACTGCCACGTGTCGGAACAGCATGTCAGACGATGCGCAAACCACGGTCCGGCGTACGTTAGAGCTATGGCCATCATTTGAATCCGGATAAGCATGCTATTAGTAATTACGCTTTCGCTGAAAACTAGAGAAACAAGTGGATAAACATCTAAGCAGTCCCCTCCTTTTGACCCGACCACTCCACTCCATCACAACCGTCCAACCCAAATCATTCCCAATCATGCGCTCCACAATATCCCACGTGTCAAACACATCTTTGAGGGCGTCACATCCAATATTTCCCTTTCGTGACTATTATATTGCTCAGCTTTGATCTGTTACGTATAAGATTCTTGTCATTTTTCACACACACACACGCTAGTTTACAGAAGAGAGAAAGAGAGAGAAAGAGAAAGAGAGAGAGTTTTAGAGAGAGAAAGTGTGGAGAGAGAGAGAGATGGAGTATGAGAGTCCGAGGAGTGGAATGTCGAGTCCGGAGGCGAAGGTAGGGATGCAAGTGGAGGACCTGTGGGACGTACAAGAGCCGCAGCTCAGTCCTACTGAGAAGCTCAACGCTTGCTTCGAGAGCATTCCTGTCTCTTCTTTCCCTTCCGCTCCTTCTTCTAAAGGTAATCAATCTAATTACCTTTTTTATATATATATATATATATATTTATATGCATATGTATATAGATTTTTTTGATGTTGATTTTGATCTAAGAGTATCTTCAAATTTACGCCAATTTTTTGGTCAAATTCAAATTGAGCTCTAATTATTTCATTAAGTTTCTATCAAATAGGAAAATTTTTACCTAATTAATGATCCAGATCATTCACCAAATTTTTTGCAGTTCTATATTTTTAATCAAATTTGATGAAAATTTAAAAATTAGGAATTGGAGATGATTTTCATTCGTAAAAAATGGATAAACAGGTTTTTAGGATGAGTGTAGAATTTTTCACAATGATTTCATGAAAAAAGAGAGAGAATTGGGGATGCTCTAAAGGAAACAGAGATAAGGGGAAATTGTGCCGTGTAAGATGAAGATCGCTAGCAGTTTTTTAGGAATTATAAAGATTTGTGATTGAATGTGTTGCGGATATAGCTTGAGATCTCCAGAGAAGGGAAGAGAGGATGGAGGGACCTCATAATTGAGCACCATTGAATGTAATTTCGCTGATAGTCACTTCGTTTGATTGATGAAAATTTTGAAGAAAATAAAATTTGGACCTTACTTGTCACATCGTTTGAGTCTTATTCTATGTTTGTTTAGACGGATTAGATTATATTGGATTAGCATTACTTGGACTAACAGGCTTAGGATTATCAATTCCTTTGGATTGACTTTTGGATTATGAGAAAGGATTGACAACATCCTATGAATTTTGCAATTTAACTAGTTAGTCTGAACCTGTATTTAGTCCTCCATTTTATATCTCACACCCCCCATGGGATTCAGTAGTCCTCTATATGAGGGATACTATGATATACTATTAGTCTAGACTCCAATTTTCTTAGCCAAACACTGGATTATGCATTTTCTCAGATTATTAGTCCTACCCAAGGCCATGTTTGCCCAAACAATATGCTCTTAGCTTATACAGAATGGAATACAACCGAACCAAATAGTTATAAAGGGCTGGTCCTTGTTGATTGAAAAAAAAAAATCTTGGAGCTAAATGATCAAATAAATTTGCATTTCCTACTTTTTCCTGACAACCAAACAGAAAGTTTTATATCTAAATGGGATTTAAGTAGACACCACTATTTCGAATGAGTGGAAAATTTCCGACCTTTGCCCATTTTTTGTATAATTATCTAGGGTGCTTTTCCCTTGGCTGGATTGTGTTTGTATCTGTATTTGTATGTCTAAAACATGTTAGGGCGTGGATTACCTTTATGGAAAATGCTAATGAGTACTTAATATGTGTAAGAAGTTTTAAAAATTGTGTAAAAAATGAATCAAGTGTCTGAGAATATGTGAATTGAGATTGTAATTATTTTGATATTTTCTCCAAGCATGACCCTACCATTATATATGAGGCAGAAGAGAGTAGGAACTATAGTTTCTCCTATTATTATCAACATATTTGGGTGATTGCCTTTATATATGAGCTTAGTGGCTACAGTTTCTCCTATTTTTATCAACACTAATTAGGTGATTTCTTGCCTGCCCTAAGCTTTGCAAACCTTTTATCCAGATATTGAGATAAACTCGGATGCTAGTCTGGCTGAAGCAGTCTTGTTGATGTCCCAACACAAAGTTCTTAGTGCACCTGTTGTGGATGTTGACGCACCTGAGGATGCTAGTTGGATTGATAGATACATGGGCATTGTTGAGTTTGCGGGTATTGTTGTATGGATACTGCATCAGGTTAGCATGCCATTATCTACTGTTGGAAACAGAATATATAATTTCTTTTGTTAAAAATGCGAAGATGCTTTTCTAATTCACAGGTCACGTCCAAAGGCCAACTTGAAATCAATGATCTAACTGTGGTCATATTGTTTGAAATTGAATGGAAAATTTTAACCATTTATTTTGTATGGATTTCTGATACATTTTTGGTTGTACAACATTTTTTTAAATAATTCCTGTGGCTAAAGTTTAAGTACATTTTTATTATAAAATTATTGGTACGGTTATTTATTCATTTTTCTGATTGAGTACATAGGACAAGCAAAACTCCTATAATAACCAAGTGAAGGTAGTGCTGCAGGGGACGAGAAATATTTTTCTTTTGTTGTTACAATATTTATAATAATTTATGTACTTTGTCAACAAATTTAGAAATTATCTTCCCTATGTGTTCACCATAAAACAGTTGAGTCCTGAATACCCAACTCTAATTTCTGGTAATGTATTCCTTTTGTTTAATAAGACAATGTTAATCAGTGAGTGGTTAAGAAAGGGAAATGTTAGGAAATGCCTGGAGGAAGTGTATGTTTTTTCTTGATTGATTTCTCGGTGAGTGGCTACATCAGGTCTTCTGCAAAGGATAATATTGAGATCTAAAATAAATAAAAAAAATTAGAAAAAAAAATTCTTAATCACTCCGTCAACGCAATCAGGATTGATTACCAGTGTAGACATGTAGTATTCTGTTATCTTTTCTTTCCAGGGGATTCTGAAAGCAAGATGGGTTTATATATTTTGCAGTCAGAAAAGCTAGATGGATCTGATGGATCAGAGTTATTCGAAGCTGAACCAGACTCAATCACTGGACCTGCTGTTGCAGCTGCAGCTGCAGCTAATGGAATGTCTTCTCCTAGAAAATTTGGAAATTTAAGTCCTAGATCTGCTGCAATTATATCTGGAAAGTTTTTTGAGACCCTAACTTCATCCGACTTTTATAAGAACACAAAGGTTGTACTTTCAACTTCTATACTCTTAATTCTTATAAAGCTTTTGCTTTTATAGCAACCTCAGTTTCCATTCCACGTATGCTTCTCCAATCTCTCATAACTTTCAAATATACAGGTTCGGGACATCTCAGGGTCATTTCGATGGGCTCCATTTCTCGCTTTGCAGAAATCTAATTCCTTTTTGACCATGCTTTTGCTACTATCAAAGTACAGAATGAAGAGTGTTCCTGTGGTCGATCCAGGAGAAAGGAAGATTGATAACATCATCACGCAGTCTGCTGTTATTCATATGTTGGAGGAATGCGCCGGTCTTCATTGGTTTGAAAGTTGGGGCACCAAGACACTATCTGAACTTGGTCTTCCTTTGGTAAAGACCAGTCGCATTATTAAGGTATGTGATATTTTTCAGTTAATATTATCTTTATATGGATGCAAGATTTCAAATGCTCGTACCCACCATTGGTCATTCTTCATTGTCTTACAAATTGTCCTATGACGATTGAACGGTAAAATAATTTTAAGGTGAAGAAACAAAATGCTTTCTATTGCTATTTTCCTTTTCTTTCTTTTTCCATCTCTTTGGTCTTCTGGCCTCTGAAAGAGGGCCGTGGGGAGGAGGGGTTGGGTTGACTGACTGACTAAATTTGATAAAAACTCTGGAAATTTTTAAAAAAAAAAATCATAAAAGGCTTCATGTACAAGAGTTTGAGGTTTTCTTTGGAAAATTTATGGATGATTTCTGTTGAGATTCTCCTCTCAGCTTGCATATCTGACCGAACCTGTAGTTGCTTTTTGGCTGGATGATTTGTTTCAGCCCATTGAATTTGCTTTTTACTTCCATATGCAAACTTCTTCTGAATGCAAACTTCTTCTGAAGCTTTCTCCATTTGTTTTCACCGAGTTGAATTGAATTTTGGTTCCCTCATTAAAATTATTTTAGTGATTGCCATCTGGTGAACAAGTTGGTGATTTCTCCTCACTTGCCTTGTTAAACTCAATAAAATTTAGAGTAATTTGTTTTAAGTTGAAGCTGCAATGAAGGGCAATTCCTGCACCACCGAGGATGGGCTCAATTTAGGCTGAAGGTGTCAGAAAGATAAGGGGAGGGCAAAAAGAACATTGCTTAAGGCAATGAGAAGACATGTTTGCATATGCTAGATGGTTAGAAAAGATTTGTGTAGCTGACACAAATACTTGGATCTTGTTGTTGAGTCGAATCGTTCACTTGCCTTGTAACTACTGTGAATAAGTTATCATGGTCCACGAGAATTTCCAGCTTCATTTAGCCATTGACATAATGCCCTCCTTTTTCCGAATGTTTCTCACATCTCCTTCTATAAGGTCTATTAATGTTCTCCCCTGGGATGAGATAGATAAAACTTCTTACTTGCACATGCCAGCTATGTTATGGAAATCCAAATCTTTAATACTGGTTCTGTAAAGTAAAGAAAGAACTAATGGTTCAACACGGGTATACAAGAACCCTTCTTTTCGGGGCAACATAATTAATATTTTCTTTTAATACAGTTTTGGCACTATGTTTTGTGATTTAGCAATTTCCTTCAATGATTTCATCTTGTTTTGCAGGTCTACGAGGACGAAACAGTTTTGCAGGCATTTAAACTGATGAGACAAAAGGGAGTTGGTGGGGTACCAGTGGTTGAAAGTGGTGGAAGAAAGGCAATCGGTAATATAAGTATTAGAGATGTTCAGTTTCTTTTAATTGCACCCGAGATATACAAAAACTACAGGTTAGCTGATGAACTTCTTTTCCATCTACTACCGTTAATTCCTGTAATTGATCTGCTTGATTATTGAGATTGTATGTAAGATGTTGATGCCCAATAAGATTGGCTTGAGTTGATATATAGTGTGGATGCGACTAGACTTGTGCACAAATTAGATACATTATGCAACATTATTAAGTGGATGAGTCACTTGTTAACTTTTGAGATGTGTGAGAATTGAGTGGCTTGGTTTTTCAAAAATGAGTGGCTTCTTTCCAGGCTACATGCATAGTATATAATACTTCCTACATAAACTATTTGGTGGGGTTGTGGGTAGCGGGGAGTCTTTCTGGTAAGGGCTGCGGCTCTAGGGGCTTCAGATGCCCCTTTCTGATTAAGACCCCTAAAGCTTTGGACAGGGGCATATAGAGTGGAGCGAAGGTTTTGGTGTTTTTGGGTGGGTATTTGACTGTTTGTGGGTTGCTTCCGGGCGCACCGGAGAATGGCGCGGCTGCCATATTCCTTGGGGCAGGGTTGGTGGTGACCATACTCACTTTGGAGGTCCTGGTAGTTGTAGTGCCACTCGGGCCTGCATTAGTGTTACGATTGAAAGTTCTGCGGGGTTGCTCCCGGTCATTATCAATTAAGCCTTGCTTTAAGGCATCCTCAATTTGCACCCCCATTTCATGTAGATCAGAAAAGGTAGGGAAGGGGAGTACAATCATCTTCTGCATTAACTTCGGTTGAAGATTGCACACAATCATCCGAATCTGGTCTTTGTCTGTGGGCCTTAAGGTCATTATCAAAGCCTTAGCCTGCCATCTGGTTACGAATTCTGAGAAGCTCTCTTTGGGTTCTTGCCTCGTTGTCTTGAGATCCCGGGTTGTAATCTCAATTTGTGTATTGTATGAGTACTGCAAGATGAAGGCCTCAGCCATCTCATCCCAACTTCTCTTGACGTCATCCTCCAATTTGGCATACCATATGGCCGCTACACCCGACAGGGTCCGGCCAAATAGAGACAGCTTCTGCAATCTAGTGAGGCCCATTGGCCTTAGGATATCTGAAAACAACCTCGAAAACAGCCA